TTAATTAAATCTAACAGGAGCACTCCTGTTCAGACACGCTTATGCCTTTTCCTAAGGTCTTTAAGACATGTAGCAACATTTAGTGGTGAAGTCATTATTTTTTGTACATTAAAAATGATATACTTTTGTTTTCATACATAGATTAAAGCATAAAAACATTCAAAATACATTGTCTGCCAGTAAAACTGAATTATGAGACAAATAAATCATAAATAATTAAGTCCTGAGGTTTTACCTAACAAGCTAATGCCCAGTCGGGACAGTCCCTGTCTCAGTCCGTCTCCCAGACTCTCTGGCAGATGTCTCCGCCACTCCTCCTGTCTGGTGTAGTGCTCCTCATCTAGAGACAGACGGTCCATGTTCCTGGCCAGACTTGTAGCCAAGTTAGTGATGGATGTCAGTGTACCTGAAGACAAAAATGGACATTGTCATTTGGATAAGACAGAGAAGTTGTTGGGTGTCAAAGGTCATCCCTGTGATTAACAATACTTGGAAACTAACAAGGCGACCCAATCTAGAACAGTGGTTGCCAACCAAGGTGTGCCGTATGTTAGTGTGCCATGGAAGGTCATCAGGTCTACTGTAAAAATAATTATACCATTTTAAAACTGGTCTGAAATTTACTGTAAATAATAACTTGTTTATTCACTCTTCAATCACTGAGAGTAAATAAACTGAGTAATTTGAACCTAGGAGATCATTTTATTTCTATATGTTTGTGACAATGTTTTGTGACATTTTAGTTTGCTGGTGCACTGTGGGATTTTTCTAATGTAAAGTATGGCTAGTGGCTCATAAAGGTTGGAAAACCATTCGTCTAATCTATACAGGGAAGCACATCTAAAAGTCTTTAAGCCAAATGCATTAACCCTAATGATATGAAACAGCTAAAAGATCTTTTCATTTGATAATAAAAGGGCAGATTTAAATAAGACCATTAGTTGTGGTTGTAAACACTGCTGTAAACACCTTTTGAGATGTGTTTGACAAAAGATGTTGTTCCTCTGGACACGCCGCTGACAAAGGCTCCAGGTCCTCGAGTGAGACCTTCATACGGCAGGCGGAAGAAGTCAGACACACCGTTACCAATGCTGCGCACCAGGCTGGCAGGACTGCCCAGGATCTCCAACGACCCCACCACCCATCCTGAGACAAAGAAGAAACACCTTTTATTCATCAACTATATATTACAAAATTGTGAAGCCAAAGCCACTGCTATAATTGCAAACATCAAATCTGAATTTCCTGTATTTCAGGGACAAAATTTGGTCAAAGAGAGAGAGTTATTGGTTTTCTTTTCAAATGTATAATATACCATTGTATAATTCATTATAAAACAATATAAGTTCAATAAACAATGTTAATAATGTCACTGATTAATAAAACATCGTTTTGTTTTACTGGGATCAATATTTTGTTAAGAGTTAACTGTATAAACATTAAACGGTTATAATTGCATTTTAATCGAGTAAATCTTGTTACATTTTAGTGAACTTAAATAATTTTGAAATCTAGTTGACTAAAACTGAACTAATTTAAAACTGTTTTATTGACTAAATTGGAAATAAGACCAAGTTACAGTTAAGTCCCAAGACTAAATTAAAATGAGCTGTCAATATAAACACTGTCGAGTGTAGTCATGGTGCTTAGAAAGTACTGTATGTACTGTCTACAGCTCAATGTAAATAGAAGATTCTTCAATCTTCGAACAAATTTCCCTGATCAAGAAGTTGATTTTATATGATCATAAAAAAAGAATCATCATAAACATTTTAAAAACATAGCAAATGTGAGTGAACACCAAGTGTAATCAACAGCTGGAGCACTCTCTACTTGACTGAGGGCATTTCTTCTAAAAAGTCAATAGTTAGAGCATAGAACGGTTGGAGAGTAAGTAATCAGCCAAACTCTCGGGATTTATATTTATTTAACATTTACTGCTGTCAAGCTGAGACTGCTGGAGGGAACTGAGTCTCCACTCCCTCAAGGCTACGACATGTTTAGCCAACAGGGGCTTATTTGCCTTTTTTCATTTTTCTGTAAGGAAAGAACAAGACGGAATTGGACTGGAAACAAATATTTCGATAAATCAAATTTGAACTATATTGTCTTTGGATGTGACCACCATATAAAACCTTATATATTGAACACACTGTTTAATGCCACACTAATTTTTTACACCCTTCAAATGAGGTTTGTGTTACAGAGAAATAAAAGCCGACTATGTGTGGAACATGTGCTCTTCAGAGACCATTCATTCGTACGAGAGGAAACTTACTTTCACTATCTCCTCGCTGCCAAAAACAGCTCAGAGTGAAGAGTTCTCCCAGTTTATACTACAGTTTGGACAGTATGGTGTTTCACACCGTTGTTTCTGTATGATATGATATAGCTTAATACTATTATAAAGCAAAAAATGACCCCAAATATAAAATCACATCATGTGTTTGAGATTTACAGTCACCCACCGCCCCACCTTTTTCATGAATCCACAGAGTCCTGCTCAGGTGGCAGGGATTATTGATATTTATGGTCCAACAATTACATCACAAAACCCAATGGTCATTTCTTAGCCTCTGTTTTTATTCTGTGTCAATTAGTGGCTGAGTGATGGAGGCTAACGGTAGATAAGAAGCTGCAGTGGGACCAAGTGATCCTTTCTGTTTGACATGATCTCCCTGTTGTGGTTTGGGTGAAGCATAAAATCCTGACAGAAGCTGATGTTTACAGGCCTGAGTCATGCCTTTAAAGATGCACACACTCCACTGTACGCCTCTTTAATATCCATATGTCCTTGAGTCTTTACATGTGCAGACCACTGATTTACGCCTGTGGGCAAATGTGCAAGTCTACAACCGTACTTCCTTATGCTAATCAGTCCCAGAATGCACCCCTTCCTGGAGAAGCTCTTTCTGTGATGACTCAAGAAGAGCAGAACGCTGTGAGGTGATGCGATGAAATACGAGCAGAAGTGAAGGCTCAAACGAAAGACAGCAGGTAGGAATCATCTGGGCAAACGGGTTGATTTCTGATGGGGAAATGTCTCACTTAAACCAGACCATGTGTGGCGTCTCTAACCAGGAAACAGCACAGAAGCCTTTATAGAGACTAATAAGTCAGGCTTCAGGTCTGGTGGCTCAGCATGGAAAACCTAAACATTATACCTACAACTTTATATAAAGACTAAGAACTAGCATTAAGGCTTCATAATGTTTTGGTGAGGTCAATGTCTTTATTCATATTAATGTTTTGTTATTAATGTCTTGACAATTGTGCCTGTCACAGCACACGTTGAAATTGTGTTCGAAACTCCAGGTGTTTCTGTAAAAACTCTCTGTGAAAACTCTCTCCAACATTAGTCCACTGCTTCACTTGGGTCACAGTCTGCCCCGATTATAGCACAGGAGCATTTAAATTCAAATGTATTATTGCAATTCAAAGCATTAACTTGATTCAATGCTTCAAGATTTTGAAATTGTATCCCTTGAACAACTCCATAGTTCATTAACTGTCTGTAAATGTTGTGCAATAAACAATTAAAGATACTGCATAAAATACACTACCACTAAATTTTGTTTTGAAGGGTAAATGCATGGGTACATTATGTTTTAATAGAAAAAAGAAAAGAAAAAGATATGTCATGTCTTGTAGCACCTACCAGCTCTGAAAAGAGTTCCAGCAGCGTAGTGCATGGCCAGAGCATGGACCAGTTGTCTGCCTGTAGTGAATAGTGGCCCTCTCTCAAACAGAGAGAAGGAGAGAGGAGTGTGGTCAGATGCAATGTAGAGTTTAAGGGAGGCGTGGATGCTGACCAGGACATTGACCGGCTGGATAGTTAATCTTTGCAGATGCACAGGACTGACCAACACATGCATCATCTGAAGCACCTACATGACAGAAAGGTCACAATGTTAGTGACGAGGAATATTTTTTGGATATTTATGTGTTTGAACATTGGTCTGAGTTGTTTCTTTTAATGATGCAGATGGATTAAATCAACTAAATACAGACGAGATAAAAAAAAAGGTTATTTCACCTGTTCTGGGACATTGGACACAGATCCAGGAGATTTGTTTCTTTTTGTCTCTGCAACAGCCGAGGCAAAAGCACTCTCAGGGATATAGGTGTGGAAGAGGGTTTTAATGTAGTAAACAAAGGTGTCTTCGAGGTAGACTCTAGCAGGCTGGAGCTGAAAGCTGACCTAAAGAGAAAGCAGAGAGAGAAAGTAGTTGTAATTATACAAAAGATGGATTTGGACACATGACAGTTAGAGAAGATATACACTTCTCTTAAGTGACACTACATTAACAAAGTCTTACATGTAACAAAATTTGAGTTTGCTGTAATAAAAAAACAATCCAACCTCCTCCACAGTGTATTTGTCTCCAGCCAGTGTCATCCTGAGCTGCAGGAAACATGTTCGCTTGAACTCCTCCAGGGCTTCAGGAGACTCTGTTGGTTTGGCATCACTGCTCCAAGGACTCCCAGGGTCAGCCTGGCACAGCAGCACAGGGAAGTGGAAACTTGCTCTGTTGTACAGCTGGTTGTCTACTTGCAGACTGGAGCAGCAGACCTCAACCAGAGAACTTTGAGGAATCAGGAATAATAATGGAGCAGCTTCAGGGTCATTTGACAGTTCCAGAGGAAGGGAGGCAGGTGCAGGAGTCAGGCTGAGGAGCAGCTTGGTTAACGTGAGTCTCATCAACTCGACAGAACCTGAAGGACTGGTGATGTCATCACACAGGGCCAAACTGGCCTCACTTAGGAAGATTGTGAAGGACAATTTGGGTGACCTAAAAGATAAATTATTGGAGCTGAATAAATGAAAACTGAAAGTGTGGTTTCTCTCCTGCAAAAGTTAAGCAAACGTTAAGCCAGATAAACTGTAGTGAGTTGGACATTTGTGGCAACATCTTTTTTGGTTGTAAATGCAAAAGAAATTTCTAAAAACAAAGGCAAATATGAGGTAAACTATTTGACAGTTTTCTTCATGAAGAAAATACTATATCTGTACCTGATAAGCAATTACATCATATTCCAATTTTGCCAGAAAAAACTATTACCAGTAAAATAACTTTTATTTTTAGAACAAAATAACCACTTATGTAATGATAACATATCATAATACTGCCAGTACGCCTTTTCAAACACAATATATTTTTATATCTCTTTAGTATTTCTTACCATTGTAACTGGAATGTGAAGAGGTTTAAAATTTAAATCAATTCCAAACAAATAAAAATAACAAAAAGAATAAAAATAAGATGGAGTCTCAGTGTCTGTTAGCAACAATTGCACTTAAATAAAACATAATATATATATATAATAAATAATAAATATTCCGTTCCATAACGTTCATTCTGCTATGGAAGAAATGCGCCCATGTGCTGAGACCGATGAACAGAGTTGACCCTCTTGTCATCCAGCCTGTTTGGAGGCAAGAGACGAGAAAAACAAAACGCAGGCACATGGCAATATAGAGAGGCCGGCTAAATTATCGAGTTTATTTACATTCATCATGCAATTTATTTATTGATTGATTTGTCCTCCCAGGTCTACTTCAAAGTTGTTGTTGTCAATGAAGAAACATGCAAATTGAAAATATGCAAATCCACAAAGTACTAAGTGGAAAAAAAAACGGAAAGCTGTAATGAAATAAAAAAAAAAATCAAAACAATGTTAGATCAAAAAGTCAATAGTTAGTTAAAATGTATTCTATATTCTATTTATTTATCAGAAAAAATTTTTTTTGCTTTAAAGGAGACCAAATATGTGAATTTTTAATTTGGTTTCTAATGTTTTTTAGAATCCTGCATTCTTCTTCTTTTGTCTCATATTTTTTAAGACAACATGATGAAGTTTTAGTGTCCCTAAAAAAAAGAAACTAACTCTAAAAATACCTTGTGACAAAGAACATATGTTAGTTGGTTATTACCCTTCAAGCACAAACACAGTATATATTTCATACTGTACCTGCTCTGCTGGTTAGCTACAGCATCCACACTGCCCTCTGGTGCCAAAGAAAGAACCAGAGTCCCTCCCTCATGTGTCACGTCGATGTAGAGACACCCAAAGCCTGGCAGGAACACCACCTGCACAAGACAGAGTCCAAGTCTGTGGTCAGGTGATTTAAGAGACTGGAAAACAGCTACAGTAAGACGGAACATGTAGAGGACATGGATATATTGAAAGAATCAGAGTGAAACTCTGCACTCTTCGCATTTTATGTGTGTTTTATAAAAGCATACATGTGTCAGACTTTAACCTCTACCTCTCCAGGTCTGCAATCATCAGTCCCTCATGTTACGAAGGGAAACAGATCCCCTGCTGAGCACTTTGCTGAGCAGTCATAACAAGTCTGACCTTTCACCTCTCACCCCTACTGCTGAGGTCAGACTCAGACCTGGCAGTAACCAGAGATACACAGCCTCCACCTCAACCTCACCCTGCAGCTGGCTAGACACAACATCAAACATCAGACACACTACTCCCTAACATCTCCCTAACCCCAGACTATTACACTGACCAAAGGAAAATACTCAGATTAGCTTTGCTCTCACAACCAGCGGTCATGCACATACTGCACCGTCTAACAATATCTGCATTGTTTTCAGGCTTTTCCAGTATGATTAAAAACAAACATGTTAGTCAGACAATGCCAAAATGCTGCTCTAAGGCAGGAGAAATGAGTACATCTGTGTAAAACACACAACAAGGTTATAAAATAATCTAAAACACCACAGCTTCCTGAGTTTTGTCTGCCTGTGGCTAACGTGGCTCCACATGGTGAGAATTGTCTGAAGTGTAACTGGATTGTTGGACCTCACAGTGATGGGACTAGGAACAAAAGCAGGTCCAGAGCTAAGTCTAATGTGATTCTGCAGAAAGTAGTGGCTGAAGTTAAAAGAAAGAACAGCGATGTTGAAAACAGAAGGTGGAGCAGTGACTTTCCTAAAGAAAAAAAATGACCTTGTGTTTGCGCATCATCTGCAAAAGACAGTAACAAATTAATCAACATTTATTTTAACACCCAGTGCCATAAAAGCCTTAATGTGTGACTTTTATTCGCACGACCTGTCAACACTGGCATCAAAATACTATGTGCTAACATCTATGGAATGAAAGGACTCTTTACCAAATTTGGGTTCCTTGACTAACAGGCCTATTCCATCAAACACAGCTACCTTATTTGATCAAGAATTTCTGGTTGAATCCTGAGGACAGACCAACATAACTTCAGGCTGAAGTATTTTCGCAGGACTTCAACATCACATTTTGTGCATAGAGTAGTTTGTATAACAGTATGATAAACCTAGTTTATCAATCAAGTCAAACACACAATATACGTTTTAGTCTTTGTTAATGACAAAAAACACCACCAGTGTCCACTGTACCTGAGTGCCCAGGCAGTTGATGTCTACTGGATCAGTCCAGTCTGTGGTGCTGTGGTCTGAAGTGGTTTTTAGCAGCAGTGTGGGTAACATCTCTTTCTGCCTGCAGTCTGGGAAAGTGGAGATGTGGTGGTAGAGTTCATGGTGCAGAGAACAGTTGGCAGGTAGTGCACGGCAGTACACTTCCGTTTGTGGGGCTTCTAGAAAAAATAAATAAATAAAAAGAATGGTAGAAAAGGCCTGCATTTTTCCCCCTATCTGGGATAAAAACGGGTGACCTTTAAAGTTAGATCATGCTCCTCCTACCTTTGAGAGTTTCCTTAAGCAGCAGGGAAATAGGACACTTGTTGTGGATCAGCAGGCGAGGGCAGGGGTCTTCATTCAGGGTAATGTATGTCACTCCAAGGTGTTCATGATACGTCATTACCAAAGCTCTGCAAGTGAATAAAAGCAGAACTGACCAACAAAGTCAAAGCCATAAACACAGCTTCACACAGAGGTAATGTTTCAATGCTGTTAGTTTAAACAACATGAGTGCTAATACAGTCAGTAGTCTTTCTGATCTATGGCAGTAGATGTCTGTACATCAGAATATAGTAATGGACATTCTTAGACAAAGTTCCTAGTGGTAAAACAAAAGTCTATTCTATTCGATATCTGTCCTCTCCTTACTGTCATGTTATAAAATGGATGACAAAAACAAAACAACAGATTTATATTTGTAAAAGGATAACTTATATGCACATCAAATTTACCTAGTGCTAAAACCACAGTTGAAGTAGCCTCAGCAAAAATCTCACAAAAGGCAAGGGCGTAGAAAGACGATAAATAGAGTATCACTCGCAGAAGACAAGCAGAGAGATTTACGGTGGAAATGTTGAGGGCATTTCTCCTTCGGCTCAGTCTCTAGTGTTTAACAAGCTGTGACCAGCTACAGAGCCTCACCGCTTCATGGCCTGTGCCAGCTGTGATTCAAAACCCTGTTCTAAACGGCTTGTCACAGCCAGCAACCAACAAATGCTCCACTTCACCCACCTGCTGCTAAGGCCAACGCCAGAGGTCGGTTCCCCAGGAACAGACAAACTCTGCCTGGGGAAGTCAGGTCGAATGGGAGCCGGGAGACTCCAGGCTGTGGTTCCAAGATGGGCATGAGGCCTGGGAAACAAGCTGAAGAGCATGTGTCTGACTGGTAGAGGGTACGCCACCTTTCCCTGGACCCTGGTTTGGAGGAGGTCCCAGCATGGCACTGAGCCTGGCCTGGCCCGGGACGAGTCTTCAGAAGGAGCCAGGCTAAACGTGGACGCTTCTGGTATCTCACAGGCCTGGGAAAAAGAACATAATATAAACATGATGAGAAGCAGAGAAAAGGGAGGAAAAACAAATTAAAGACACAAAAGAGATGAGAGAGAAAGAGAAATAAAATAAAACAAATAAATAAATAATAGAGGTGAAGAAAGCAACTGGGAAAAATGAGAGGGTGGATAAAAGCTACATTAGAGAAGGACATGGGATGGGACAGAGAAGAAAAGAGACAGAAGACTTAAGAGATTATTCCAAAGATACATAGTAAAAACCACATTGTTATTGTAGTCCCCTTGTTCTCCCACTGAGCTTAGGCAGTAAATTGGTAGCAGAGGAGCCCTGCTGTGTTAGTTCAGCAGCCAGTGAGCAGTGGGTAGAGGAGGAGTACGAGGATCAGGCACTAAACATGATGAAACGAGCAACTCAAAAGGAATTCTTAGCCTTGTTTGTGGTCTGTGTTATTGTTAAGGCCAGTGCTCACTATTTAGTTTTTAAGCATTTTTTCTTAAGTTTCTTCAGTCAATTAGTGGCAACTGGGAAGCTCTGCCATCCTTCTTAGAAAGGATCTGAAGGATGGCTAGATGACATCACTGCATTGTTGCTCTCTTTGGGGACAAGCAGCGGATGAAAGTGAGAAGAGAAACCTGCATTCAATTGAGGGTGTTTGTCTAATGTCCCTATGAAGTTCAAGAGTGCTGCGGAGTGGAGATGATCTGATGGAAAATAGCTTTTGCTCCATGCCTGCAATGTAGGGTAGCGGTGGGCTCGATGTGTGTGTAATGTTCATGGGGAATATACAGCTGCAACAGAGTAGTGGAGACATGATGCAGGACCAAACACACAGACACACATAGGCTTTATGATCATGAGCTAACAGCACGAAAAAGAAGCTACGTGTCCAGGAATTTGCTTTGTTTCACATTGTTTTCAAAAAAACGTCTGGAACGGCACGCTGAGCGGAGAGAAACTCAAAGACTGGGCAGGAGTTGAGATGCATGAAAACACTTTTTTGATTTGTGTTTAAGTCTCCAATAATCTAACAAAAGCAGGCATGTTTTGAAAGTCAAAATATAGCAGATTTGAAGTGACATCTCCCAAATAACTTCATTTGACAGCTGAGAGAAAATGACATGTTCATTTGTATCACACATGTCCAAAGTCTGGCCTGGGGCTCGGTTATGGCACTTGGACAGGTTTTATCAGCCTGTGAATGTGTTCTTTTATATTATTTATGGCTCTCTTTTAATAAGTTACACAGGTCCAAGATGCAATTCCTGTAGGACTTTCTACAAGCACCAGCTGTTGGCAAAACAACTGTCTATGATGACAAACGCAGCTAACAAATGTCTCTCGGAGGAAACACCTTCCTACTTCATTTTCTCTTCTCTCTAAGAGCAGCAAAAACAACATATGGTGGAAGGACATTTGCAAAATTTAGAATCTAATGAGTGATGCTGTCATTATACAAGTCGGTGAATATTTGTCCCTCAGCATACCTGGACTTATGGTGTCTTAAAAATGTAGAAATTATAATGTTTTTCTCTAGTCAGTTTCCCTGCTTATATGAGACTGATTAAATTAACCGTATATTTGTGTAAAATTTACTTTGATATGAACTATGTAACATTATTTTTAAACATTACTTTTACTTGCCTTATTGCACCACTCTGCTCTTTAACTTAAATGTATTTGATATGTTTTACTTTCTTCAAAATAAACATTTTAATGGGCTCTTTGCATAAAACCTACATTCTGTTCTATTCTATTCTATTCCTGCCTTTTCTATTGCTGAGTACAGTAGTGACATCACCTGGTCCTCAGTTCCCAGTGCGTGGTCAGTCAGCAGAGGTCTGCAGTGAATGGTGTAGGGTGTGTTGTTGACCAGAATTGTCCTGTCCTCTATCAGCAGGATCTGGATTCCATGTCTCACCACAGACGAGACACAGAACTGACACATCTGTGGGGAAACACCCATCATCATCACTATCCTGAGACATAATAAAACATATATACTAACACAAATGCTTAATCAATTATCTAAAAACTAACAAGGTTTGTGAACAATATACAGCTGATATAAGGTGTCAAATGAATCCAGGAATATCAAAATGAGAATCATTTTTAGACTATTAGTCTGGATAACTTCTCAATGTTCACACTGTGAACATGATCAAAACATTTTCAGTACCTTTTGTCTTCCAGCTGAGCCACCCAGGGTGATGTCTGCTTCTACGTATCCTTCTTCATCCAGAGTGACTACATCAGCTCCTGTCCCCTCCTTCCATCGAGGAGAAGTTAAGTCATGGACCAGTTTCAGAGCCGTGGACTTGTGGACAGTGTTGGTGTGGGCCCAGTAGATGCCAATCTGGAAGGCTTCCTGGATGGTGGTCAAAGAGCGGCACAGAGACAGAGCAGAGGGAAAATATGCAAGGAGAGGATGAGAACGCGAGATAAAAATCAAAGGTCAAACCATTTTCAGTTGTGTCCAATTGGTTTTATTTAATTGCATCTTGGAAATAACCATCATTTTGTGGCCTTCTCTGCCGAGAGTATATAAAACCGATCAGTTAAGTTTATTACAGATGCTTGAGTGGCATCTGATCAAGCATCATAAGTGTTCCTCCTCTGCATCATCAACGCAGCAGACAGCAAATCTTCCCTCCGTGTATTCCTCCATGACAAACAGCAGGTAGCTATAGCAACAGTGCTTTATTTGTTTCTATTTCACAGCCCATTGCACATTCACAGCTTTTTATTTTGCTTCCTCGTGCCGACACGTATCTGAAGTTTTCCTTTGAAAGCTTGCCTCTCTGCTTAGTTCTGGATTAGTGGCAGAAGAGTGTGTTTATGTGTGTGTGTGTTATGTTCCACAGGGGGAAAACCATCTGCAGAACTTCTCTTCTGATCTCACAAACCAATGAGAAAAAAGGGGTCTCCAGTATATAGTAACACAGCTTGGCTGTATTTAAATACTTAGGAAGGGAATATTGGAGTAATATAGCTCTGGTTAATGTCTCAGCTTTATTTTTATTAGTCAATACCAAAATGAGAAGAGAGCTGGTTTCATACTCAGACCTGTCATGCATGAATAGCTGCACAGTCAGGCCTTGTGCTAAATATATATATATATATAAGTAGATATATATGTATAAAATTAGTTGAAAACTGTCACATCAAGATCAACATAATGTCATTAAGCAGTTAAGATTTGGACACTGTGCAGTATATGACTGCCTTCCAGAAATGGAGTTAGTTATATGGATCTAATTTGGTTTTCATTGGAAGTATATGAACTTAAATCTTATAATACAAATGTAATCACAAAGGAGGGAATAACAGGAAATGAGTTTTACACGTGTCAATCAATTTTACATGGTATAAGGTATAAGGATAGTATAAGGATGTGTGCAGATCTGGAGGAGGATATGTTGAAGTCTGGAATCCTGCTTCTTATACTGATGTATCCTTGGATTCAGGACAAATATATATTTTCAATTAAAATGAACAGATAATAACCTACCTTGAAGTTAGGTGGCACGATGACTTTACCGGCTGGTATTTGCAGTATGATGGTCTCTCCCTCAAAAACCCAGAGGTCCCACTGGGAGTGGTTAGCGAGCAGGGCCCAGGGCAGCAGCTCCACCAGCAGTGTGTTCAGGGCAGGCTTCCAGCAGGACAGTTTCACCTGCATGGGACTGTCCCACTGGGCTAAAGGCTCCAGCACAGACCTGGTTGAGGGGAAACACTTATGAAAGCCCATGAAAATAACTGTTGTCCATAAGTATCAAACAGAAACAAAAGATGACAAGACGCCACACCAAAAATAGCCTTGAATTTACGTTGTGTCTCATATAAAATACAACATTAAGACCTCTACAATGGCATGTACATATTGACAGAGTGACGGACCAGAGCTGAGTCCAGTATTGATATACTTTGTGGTTTCATATAATTTCCTTGGCTGTGGAAACGTTTTCCACAGTGCTAAACATTTGAAAAGTTAAAGCAGGTCATTAACGGGTTACATATAAACTGTTACAATACGCAGACCATTACTGCTTGACAAGAGTCACACAAGCTAAACAACTACAGAGATAGACATGTCCTTCATTCGGTTACGTAACTAGAGAACACAGACAACAGTTGACAAAGCATCTCGGAACACACACACACGGACGTGGAGACACAGACAAACAGGCAGACAGACACAAACACACAACCATTTTTCCACTAAACTACTGACACAGCAGTCATTTCACACTAATCATGGTCTTGAGAGTCCTAAACAGTGCTGAGCGCCAGAAGAGAGCCAAACAAACAGCTCTCTCAAAAGTTCTTTGAAGTTCAAAGCTATCAAATGTGACCCAGTCGTCCCAGTCCCTCAAGGCTGCTCACCGCCCACTGCCAACCTGTCACCTCAAACTTGTCACACAAGAGACAAGACCAAAAAAAAAAAGAAAACACACAGAGTTGATGGGGTTTTTTTTCCATGTACTCTTCTATCACTGTCCAGCCACTGGCCCTTCTTTCATGCTGTGTGTGTGTGTTAGGGGTGAGACAAGGCTTTGACCTGTCTTGACAGAGAGGGCATTAAAGTGCAGGGATCATTAATCACATCACACAGCTCAAACAGAAACAGTGAATGTGCTCAGCTGCTTCTGTCAAAAGCTGCCAACTGTGGAGTTTGTGAAGTGTGAAGTTAAAGGAGGACTCACTCTGACACACACACACACACTTGTTGGCCTCAGCTAAACCTAATTCCAACCTTTATAAGGTGTTTTTTAAAAGTGTGCCACAAAATAGTGGCAACTTTCATCTTCCTCAGATCCACAGTATTTATATACTCTCTGCCAAGGTGTTCATGTGCTCATGCCACACTAGTCTCCAGACCACAAACAGCCTGATAAGGGAAACACCACATCATATTTCTGATGGTTTCATGTCTGTCCAACTTCTGAGTGTACCACTACCAGTCCTCTAATAAGACATTTTCCACTTTCCAGAACTTTCCTCATTTCAAAATGGCCTCTGACCATTAGCATCAGCCCAGCAAATCATGTTCTTGATCATATTCTGTACTTTCAGAGTACTTTTCTAGTCCTGATGCCTGTAGTGTAAGACATTTACACTATAGATTCAGTATAGTCGACCAACTGACAACAACAAGCTGCCAGGCAGCAACATATAACCTACCCTACTGGAATCAACCCCACAACCCTTCGGTTGCATGACAACTGCACTACCTACTACCACTGCCTCCCCCACTTACTGCTCCACAAAAATCTTTATGATTTGACTAGCTTCTGTCCTTCTTCAACAAAACATGACATAATGTTTGTAACATTGCAATCCTATATGGAGGGAATTAAAGGAGGAGGCACAACACGAGACAACTTAGAAGAAAACAAAAGAATAGTGTAATCACAACATTTTTTTTCCTCTTCAGGTTTCACAACAGCTTGCAATGTTTATTTGAATACTAATGGTACATTTTTATTCACTTCTCTACATGAACAAACTTAGTTGGAAGAAACCCTATCTTTTACTGCTTTACAGAATTTCCACATTTGGTGTCTTATCTGCCTCCTTTACTAGCCTCTCTGTTTGTTTCCTGTGATTCTTTTTGCATTACAGTCAACTTCACTGGTTCTTGGCTTTACACTATTGACATTAGTCATTTTATCTCTTTCCACTGAGATCTTTTGTTTCCAAGGGATGCTCTGCAGTCATTTTTGTCCTCTTAACCTCTGACTTTAACGCACAAGTCGAATTTATCACACCAGCAATAAATGCAACAACATTCTTTTAATATGCAGATAATTTCTTTTCTTTCTGTTCTCCACTTCCTGTTCTCCAGGAAGATTTTACCACTGTTACCACAAAACAAGCTAAAGTAGCTTAATTTTCTCAAAGCCTTGCTGTTACCTTTGAAATAAGTAAAGCTCTTGTTTATGCAGGTCTTCCTTTTGAAACCATAGTATTTGCCAGTTAGGTCTCTAAACCTCTTACTGTATATAAGGTCAGTGCAGGAGTCACACAACAGCAGATCTGAACTGCCCTGAACTTACACCTGGTGTGTGTGACATTTAAAAGTAAACAATGCATATGGTAGCATGCATATGTAATACAACCTTATGGGTGTGTACACATGTGCTGGAGAGCAGTTAGTGTATGTTTGTGTATGTAATATAAAGAGCAGAGAAAGCCAGGCCACCTCAGGCAGGCACATGGCTGTCTTTGTTATCCTGAGCCAGTGGGAGAGCATGTGGTGATGTCTTCGACTGCTGTTATCAAGATGTGATTGCTCTGTGACAGGAGATGAGTCACAGAGTGACACATGTGTAAAAATCCACATGTGTGTGCTGCTGGATAGTATACGTAAACTCATGCATGGATCACATACTGTATACACATTTGCACAGATACGCAAATATACAGTATAAACAGTGTGCATCCTGTAAACCAGTGCCAAGTTTTAACTGAATGCAAGGCCCTGTCACTTGTGTGAGAAAATGGGACTGTGACAGAATGACAGCCCGAAAATCTGAAGTCTGTGGGAACCGCAGAGGGATTGCTGCTAATGTCTGATGCATGGCTCTGCATTGTCTTTGTACTAACTGTTTTATTATGTGAACAAAGACTAGGCAATAAAGAGAAGCCTTCCTCATGAAAGGCTGTGCTTGCACAATCCGGTGCTTTGAGGATAGATGGCGTAAGAAGCCCACAATTTCAATTAAAACACACACACACACACATTGGTGGGTGTGATGAAATCTTTGTTATGAAACCCTAAAACAGCCAGATGCAGGACTGGACACTAAAGTTCTACAATAAACATGAAAAAGAGTAACAAAGTAAATGACCTGTACCAAAAGAACCAAGACGTGTCATGGTGTCTGGCCGTGTTACCAGCTACAGTAATGCTTTAATGCTGCTTCAACTGTTGACACTGTGGTTGCTGATGACTGACTTTATTGTGCAACTTCGGGTCAAGTGTGTTGCTCAACGACAAATCTGCATACAGAGCAGGATGCAGCAAAATGTATGGTACCTGTCGCTATCTTTGTTGACGTAGGGCCAGGGCATCTCACTGGAACTGTTGGGTCCATAGAAGTCTGCCAGAAGGTCCTTCAGGCTGTCCTCGTTTCCAGCTTTACCCACTATTTGCCTGATCAGGTTGGTGGAGATAGGCACAGCACAGTGAGAGGTCTCTTCATTCTCCCTGAGGAAAAAAAACAAATAACAGAATTTTTTAGGATTATATAAAGACATTTGATAATAAACTAAAACAAATAAATCATTGTTAATGACTCAACATCCACAGAAAGACCTATTCTTGTTGCAAAAGAACTGAAATATTAAATATTGTAAATTCACCAAAATATCACTGATTGTATTTTAGGTCATTTTTCGTAATATACATAAATATCCACATGTCTTACATTGACTTTCTGAAAAGAACATTTTTGATTTAGGCATGTGGAGAAACATTGTTGAAACTCTGCTGCATGATTTTATGCCAGTCTGTTTTGGTAGCATGTTTACTTACACTATCACATCTACACTTTTGTTTTTAACTTTATAATAAAGTTATACATCTCTAGACATCATTTAGGTTTTACCATTGTCCTGTTTAAAAAAATAACCTAATCTTCAGTTAAACTGCTGTGCCCTGAAACTATGCATGGTTTGAAGTTGTCTTTGGATAACTTTGCCCAGACATTGGTCAATTTCACCTTTGCAAGAAAAAGAAAAATCACATCTAAACAGTGTAATAGCTTCTGCTCCTCTTCCACCAGACAATATCCAGTTCCACTTGGCTCACATACACCAGCGTAGTAGTTTATTAATAGAAGCCATTGTGCTATAAAAGGAACAGCCAAGGCTGTTGCTTATAGATCTGGAGACGAGACGGAGGAGAGAGACAAGGCGCTGACAGGAAGCTTTTCATCATAAGCAGTTTCTGAGGGAAATTGGAAGGGGCTTCTGATTGTAACCCTCAGTTGTCTTATGTGGTGGCCAATATGAGGATCACAGGACATTAAGGTTCTGGTTAAGTCTTGTCTGTGTCTCTTGTGTTGCAGACCGCAGCTATGCTTTCTACCTCATAGATTAGAGGCCACAACTATGTGTAATTGCAGGAAGGAAAGATGAGCCTCTGACCAGTGAACATTTCAGTTTGGATCCAACCCAGATATTTGTGAGTGGGGGGTGACACTGTGTGTGTTTGTGTGTTACTACACAAACATGTAAAGGTACGATTACATCTGTGGCCTACATTGTCTGCTTGTCAACACAGAAGGATGAGGGATGGACTGACTTGGGCGGTCAAGTTAAACTAGTACGTACAATAGGTTTATGCGGTGAGACATGGTTAAGACATGGGATGTTGTGGTTTCAGTCCACAAAGACGGGACACTAAGTTTTCTGAGCTTGGTTTTTGTGCACATAAAGAGGCCACATTTACTCCCAGTTACTGAATGGCCATCGTGGTCCCTTTACAGCAGCTGAAGTCAAAACAAACTTTGTGACCGGATATCTAAACACACAATAGCTACAGCAGGGATTATGTCAGAGAGCACCAATTACATTTTAGCTCTGTTTATTTAGACCAGTACATGGTGCTACCAAAGGAATACCGTATTTTCATGTTACCGTTAGAACAAGCTGCTACGGCAAGTGCAAAAAGCACACTTAATGTCAAGTTGGATGTTATTATACCATTCAGTCTATATGATGTATGACTAAGAGACATATTTATTTGTGAGAATACAAGAGGATAAGGATAGTATGAGAAAGTGAGAACACAGGCGATCTGTGAGAAAGCGACAGGCGCAACAGTGATGTACGTGACAGATCCTGCCCATGATAAAGAGAGGACTGTCGCACTTATGTTGGCACACAGCTCAACAAGGCAATGACAGCAGAAGACCACACAGATTCAGTGACACATTGCATGCACTACTCATCCACCCACGCAAACACGTGTGTGAACACACTTTCAATCCACTTCACACACACAAACACACACAGAAAAATATGGGGCCAATGCAGGGCCAAAAACCTGCTCTCTGTTAGGGCCGTATCTAAATGAGGTGTAATTATGGTCCAGCCTGACATGTTGGAAATGGAGCTGGGTCTCAGCTGCTGCCAAGAGGGCTTCCTGTTCCAGAGAAATGGGCCTGGATCCCCCTGGATCACGTCTTCATGTTGGCTCACACACACCAGAATGTGGTGTGGGAGAATCTTAAGTAGGTGTCTTTCCTTCCTCTTGAAATGAAAATGTACAATTCTTTGTAGCAAAAGGAGAGCATCAAACTCTGCAGCAGTACTAGTTAGTTGATAATGACATAACTTTGGAAAATAAAAAATACTCAATGCTCCATGAATGTGTTCTGTTGATCTTCATCCATCAACCAGCCAGATGATTTAGATAAATCAATAAGAAGATAAGACTAAAAAAGGCTGGGTCAAGATAATAAATTATAGGTTTAAATAAAGCCTTACATGAATTCCGTGTGTGGATTTATGTACTTGAACCTTTTACTTTTGTTAATAAGATCCGTTTTTTGTTGAAAGTTAATGTTAATGTTGAAAGGTAATGTAATGTAATGTACTCACATGAAAAGGCATGGCCAAAATTTTTACCTCGGGGACCAAAAACCTGAAACTTGATAGTAAACTGTGGGCCAAAAAGACCCACAAGCTGCACCACGGTTGATTAACAATTTTCCATTGTATGTATCGGTCAGAAATATTATTGTATGGTTCCTTACATTCTATTAAATATCAACATTTACTGGCACTGCAGTCATAACCTGAAGTACACAGGAGAGTTCAGTAAGTATTTATATGTTACTGCTGATTAACATGGAATAACAGAGGTGAACAGTAGGGAGATTTATGAAACAGGAATTAATTAGTGTTTATAAAATATACAACACTCACTAATATACATTTTTTTTACCTGGCCTGAAAAGTGAGATGGTGTGTGAGGTCGGCCTCAGTGTTTAATAGAGGCTCCTGGTGACCTTGTCCTTGGATCAGCTGACTCTCTCTCAGTCCCAGATTCCTCTTCTCTATGTGGATGATTACTGGCTCTGGCAGATGACTCCTCATAACAAACAGTGGACTGAAAACCACCTGAAATGAGACATTTATACAAAACAATTAGAACTAGATAAACTACCCGCTAAAGTCAATAGTAATCCTTTACCTTCAATAAATATTTAAAGGTGGAGAAGAGAAAGCACAGAAGTTATGAAAAGATAAAATTAAAAAGCAATAACTTTTCAGATTTTTATTTAAAGTTAGAGAAAACTAATATATATATATATATTCCCCTTTCCTTTCTTAGTTTTTTATGGAAGATATGGAGAACAAGGAACTCAATCTCAACAATATCAAACTGCCGATGGTATGGCCATGGAAGGGCGTGGCTAGGCACCCAATGACATACAGCAGATGGTTGAACATTAAAAAGTATAAGGGTATAAATTCAAATGTGGTTTTAAGCTGTGTCAATGGTGACTGGCCCCACCCATTAAAGTTTCCAGAGACAGAGCTAAAAAACATGATTGTATTTTTTTTTTTTATTCACGAATAAAATACCCTCAAATGGCCCAGGATTGCTAAAAAATATGAAATGATGGTAGAGGTATAACTTAGAACTAAAATAAAAATGTTTACAATATTGTACATTCTTAAATTTGCTGTATATGTATTTGTATATTGTTGGTAAATGATTAAAAGTTCAAGTGTAATTCTTAGCCTGAGACCCTGACTGAAAATATTTGAGACTATTGTCATGCTGGCTAATTTAGTCATGACTTCAGTGTTCCACAGGCCACAGAACATTGTTAGAAATGGACAGGGACAGCCTTTTAAAATGAAAGACATTATTTCAAAGTCTTGAAAGATAAAAAAGACATTACAACAAATTAAACCGTGCCGAATAACACATGACACTCACAGCTCTCTGCTGCAAATAAGAGTCTGGTTCCATGGTGATGAGTGTGCACCAAACGTAAAGTAATGAACCACCGGAACAAGGCACCTGGAGGAACACAAACTCAATGTTATTCATCATGACAGCCACAAGAAAAGTTATTTTAATGAGGACAAGTCCCATTTAGGCGGATTTAGCTTTTCACTTTGTTTGATAACTTGGTGCAAATTGTTCACAGGGGAAAAGCTGACATAAACTCTTAAAGGGCAGCTATTTTGTTTGTTTGCTTGTGGTTTGAATGTAAAAAGTAAAACTCTAATGACGTAAATGCTTTTTGCTGCAACTCGGTGTTTATTGCCTCCATCAGTGTCGCATTATCATTTTTTTGTCCTATAAAACAAATTTTCTTGGCTTCCACCAGTAGTTAAAAGTTTAGTTGTTGTTACAGCCTTTAACAAAATATAATGGCTTCAGCCAGTGACAGCAGTGCAAGATAATGGGCCACTGCAGGCCGTAAAATTTTAGCAAGATTTAAAGACTGAGAAAAATGCTAGTAAAAAGCTGCTCGCTCTTAATCTGTCACTGCTGTTTGTCCCATTTACTCGTCTTTACTCATCCAGGCATTGTGGTGCCGGGGCCAATTACAATGGGTCTAATTATGACACACTGGGGACTTCGTGGACTGGTGGGGACAACTGAGGAGAGAAAAGGGAAAAAGCCAGCATGCTGTTCTTTACAAAACAGCTTTAGTAGGATGAGGGAGGGAAAGTTTGGCATAAGCCTGATCCACTGAAATCCCTTACAGCTGGGAAAAGGTCAGAATGACCTCTTGTGCACTGTCAAATGATGAGAATAAGGGCATAAAGGTGAGAAAGGGCGATATAAAGAGGAGGGATTTGAAGGTGATGGATTACAGAGATGGAAAGAAAATCAGGAAACAGATGAAAAAGTGACAGGCATCAGTGGAGGAGAGAGTTAGAGACTGAAACAGGTGGACGAGCTGGATGCCAGAGGATGAAATAAATAAAGAGGATGATTTAACAACTACAAGATAGATGAGTAAGCCAGTGTGTGGGCGAGAGAGTAAAAGAACCAGAGAAAACAAGAGAGTGAAATAGGAAGCAGACTGAGATAGAGAGATCTAAGGACTAAGCTACTAGTCCAGGCAGCCCTCTCATTTGGAGCCAAGCCTCCATATGTGCAACAAATGACTGCTTTATGGAGGGGAGAGGAGATAACACTAGAAGCTGGAGTGTAGTCAGAGCAGTTCAGTACCACACAGAAGCTGGAGCTGCAAAATGGTCTAACAGTTAACAACAGAGGTGATAGACACGGAGGCAGAGAACAGTGGAGAAAAAAACAGTAAAAGAAATGTTCAGAACAGCAGGAAATGAGAAGAGATGTGATCCACTGGCACTAACTCAGGGGTATGAACACTCCTTCAAAGCATCTTCCAATGCCCACATATCAGCTAGTGTTTGGTTGGTATTGTTTTGAGGAAGTATAAACTGTATTTTTTCCTTTCCACGTGATTGAGTTATGGCTCCAGGGGCCTTTGTAAGACCATCTGAGGGAAAGATCTAAATCTGCTCTTTAAAAATGAGTAGCAAAAGTGCAGTGTTGCCACTCTGGCCACCCAGTAGACATGGATGCTGTCATAGTTGGTGGTCCAGTCAAGAAGTCAGAACCTGCGTGTGAGAGAATAAAGTTTTGGCTGGAAATTGTTGTGTTTGTACAGTGTGGAACTACCTGTGCTTGTCTGAGGAGCACACAGCAGCTTCCTGAGGACATTTAAGTCCACAGCTCTGAGTAGAAGCCACACACTGTATGCTTCAGCTAATTGTCCGGAAATCCGATTATGATCAGGATTTGGAATTGACTAACCTTAACTGGAGCTCCACAAACATGAAGCTAGTACTACTTTTTTATTATTAAAAAAACATAGTTTAATCAGTGCTTACTAACTTTTTACAAGGTAACACATTTTATTCAGACTATGTGAAAAAATAACTAAGCCAAATGGTATAAAGTGGTATTTATGAAAATATTCTTAATTTGGAGAAACCCTGTCTCAAAAATCCAGTTTCAGATTATATTTTTATTTTAATATTTTTTGATGATAAAATCCCTCAGATTAGCTGAAAACCTGAGAAAGGGGTCATTAGAGCAAAACAAAGGAGGTGACCACACCCTGGCAGAATGTGTGATCACATGGGTGAATGTGTGAAAATGGGGCTGTGGGAGTCACAAGGGAGGTGTACCACGTGAGGTGCAGAAAATGTTATAGTATAAAGGGGGCAGTGGTGGCTTAGTGGTCAAGGAAGCGGGGGTGTAGAAGGCTTCAGGTTTGAGTCCACCAGCTGCCAAGTTACTACTGAGGTGTGCTGAGTATGGCACAGGTCCCCACACACTGCTCCCCGGGCGCTTAAAGCTGCCCACTGTTCACTTTGGTGATGGGTTAAAAGTTGAGAATTGCTCTTATTGCATGTCCTCAGCAGAGATGTCTTTGTTTGTTACCTGTACAACGGAGCTGCTGCTCTCTTTCTTCCTGCTCTCTAGCTGAACATCTTGAGACCACTCCTCGTCTCCCCGGGCTCTCACACACAGCTCCGTCATCTCTGTGTCCTCCAGAACATAGGAGGGCAACTTCGCCCCAGCCTCCAGGCAATCACAGTGTTCTTTCACCACTGTCTGACCGTCGGGCCCTACATAGTGCTGTACCACTCGCAACTCAATATCTTGTGTGAGGTAACTGCACATTAACTGACGGCCACAGATTATGACCTGTGAAAAAAGGGGAAAGAAAAATGATGATAAAATTTAGCATCACAGGTAAGGGCACCATACACTTCTGAAAACAATCATTGTCATCCAGCCTCCGCAAAAAACAGAACTCTTAGTACTGCAGTAAAGAAAGAAAATCTTAAATACTCAGTTTCAGCTGTTTTGATTAAAAAATCCCTAAAATAGTTCTGAAATATCAATAAAACCTGTGGACTGGAACGCCCTGGCAAAATAATTTTTGCATGCAAGTTATTTATAAATAAATTAATTTCACACATTTGGCTCAATCATCGAAAATTAATTAGAACAATACACAACAACATACGACAGGACTAGACCTCACAGATCGCTCAGATGTCCCGCTTAAGAATTAATGTGTTCTTATGCAATGAGGCCCAGTGTGTGGAGCACAGAGCAGGGGCAGAACAAGCCAAGTCACAGCCACCAGTGGGCTGTCATCTGGTACCAGAACATCTGATTCTGCTCAGAACGGCCTCCATCATTATCATGATTATCATCTGTGCATGTGTGTGTCTTAATGCCTTTGTGCAAGTGGCTCTGTGCTCCACTGGTTGTGGCACTGATGAAGATCTTGGACCCTAATGTGGGAAACTTCACATCATCATATTATCAGCACATGCTTGACTGCTAACATCTCCTGACTGCTAACAATAAGTTAGTGTTTTGATAACTAATTCATGCATTCAGTTTGAACTGAGACTAAAACAGAGAAAAATACAGAAAACGATATGGTAACTGATAAACATCCAGTGTGGAAAGAGGGGGCTGTAAAGGTTAGCTATAAATACAGACAAACTTAATAAGAACTAATAATTTAATCTTTTCTAGTCTAAAGGTAACACCTGGCAAGGTTTCGTCTAACACAGGTGAGCATCCAATCAAAGGACTAACATGTGGTCTACAATAAATTCATTACCCAAGATGCTACTCTGAAACAGACTGATGTAACTTTTTAATTGTCACAAACAAACACTGCCCAAAACACTTGTTTTGAAGTTTATTTTCTAACTTTTTCCTAGGACAAAAAAAGCAACACTGGGTCTACTGCGCTTCTGGTTGGTTTAATGAATTTATTTGAGTAAACTTATAACAGAGACTAAAGTCAGTGGTTGCACAGATTGATTTCTTTGTTTACTTTGTGAGCAGTTGAGCAGAGGCAGTAAAGCTGCAGGGTTTACTTCAGCTTGACATCCAGTGGTAGGGCCAAGCATGAAATTTTGACAAGAGTCCGTATATATATATATATATATATATAAATATATATATATATATATATAAACAGGTCTGTGTCTGTTTTTGGAAATCTTTGCAAGAGTTAAAAACAACAGGTACAAACACACATGCACACATACTGTATATAACAGTACCTGTTTTTGGACACCGCTCAGCTGCACCACCTTGATGATCAGTGAAGCTGTGCGCCCTTTGTAATGAATGGTTCTCAGCAGAGTTCCAACGTTGTCTACACTGAAGGCCTCCGACCAGCGCCAGTTCCCCCAGCCCTCTATGCAGATGTGCAGCAGCTGAAGGACACAACAGAGCAGACCATGATCACAAAAATCCAGACAGAGACACCTCAAAGGTTAGTCTTCTAGACCGTTATTTATCCTGCAGCAAGGGGAGAGTAAACAAGAGGGTTTTTTGTTTGGAAGGACAACAGAGTTCCTGTTTACTGGTTCTAAACAGGCCTGCTGCTTCTGGATGAAGGAGCAGAAGGACACACACATTAAACTGACTGGTGGAAAACAGCTGATGTGGGAGCTCATTATGGCTGTGTTTGTGAGTAAGACGTGTGGGTGTGTGTGTGTGTACGCGTGTGGTAAGATTTGGAAGTCTGTGTTCTCCACGCGTCTAAATAAGAGACAGATAGTTTTGCTCTCAACTTTTTTACAGTTTTACATCCATCACTTCACTGTAGATCATATCCATGTGTGTGGCTAAACACACACAGATTTAGAGGACAGCAATAAACACATGTTATCCTGTGTGATGACATTCAAACAAGTTTAAAGTGGTGACAATTTACTGACCATTTACATTTATGCATTTAGCAGACAATGTTATCCAAAGGGACATAGAAGAGGAGAATTAACAATGAAGTGACAGAAGAACTCTTGAACAGAGATTGCTATTTAGTAAACAGAACACACCATATGCCATTATATACCAACACCTTTGCTCTCATGTCTGTGTTAGGGCTCATTGAACACCACTGTACCTCAGATTACAAAACACGTAACAAAAAAGAAAAATTCAAACTGCTCAACAGTGAAGTCATCCAGATTAACGCAGAATTCCACCACACATTTTCCATACAATACATTCCATTAGACTTGAACTCATTTGTCAAACAATGTAGGTGATTTTATTAGATTGTGCACACAATAGGAGATCTAAAGACTTCTTTGTGAGGTCAGTGTGACCTGACCTTTCACCTGGATAAACTTGCTTTGTCAGCCCTGCTGTCAACACAAATTCAAAGTCCAAGCATAAGGAAAGGGAATAAGAATTAATGTGTGCAAATGAGAGTCAAGAAAACATGGGTCACAAAGAGAACACTTTCAGGAGTGTCCCCTAGGAGCAGTGACAACAAAGATTTTTTTTTAGGAATTACACTTTGATTTTTCGTTTTTCTTCACCAAACGTTTAACCAATCTGTTTAAAGGAAAATAAATGACTCTCAGGGTCAAAGAGCACGAGGGGACCCTGGTCAAGACACTCTATGTTTCTCTTCATTGCCGTCACTCTACACTGTTTGAAGGCGGATTTTTTTACAATAACAATCTTAATCAAAGCTTGGGCCAGTTGTTTAATAGATCAACCAAGAGCTACGTCATTTGAATACAATTTTAAATAATTCCTTAGATGTACAGGTCACTGGTCACATGTAAATGTTGTATTAACAATCATGTTTATGGTCTGAATCTGAGGACAGTGAACAACTGTTTGACACCCTAGGGCATCAGGGCCACATACGTTTTTGGTCAATATTTTTCAATTATATTTAAATTAGGATATGTTTGATTTGACCATGGGATTAAACCCATTTATACAATACGTGTTAATAATACTTCCAGAGTTTGCCCCAGAGTTTATACTGAATCCTGTGAAGTGAGATCTGAATCTCAGCACCATCTGCAAAGACCCATCTGTTATTTCAACACCACTTTTCTCCATCTACTTTATCATGCCTGTGGCTCAACTTGACCTCTGAGTGAAAAGTCATAATAATGTCTCCCTCCAGCTTCAAACAGCAACTGCTCCGTTTTGTTTGAGGTAATCACTCTTTGTGACTCAGGTGAAGGGAGAAAAACACTGGTGACACAGACGAACTGTTCACAAAGGATGACAAGAATGAAAAATACAAAGCTGCTTGGCCTTTTGTGATTTATCCAAGTATGGCATGAAGAAAAGCCTGTCTCTCATGTCAAGTTCTGTAGTCATTAACGCAGGAATGAAGCCCAGACTAGGCACATTCTCTGAATGCAGAACAATACTCTGTAAATAAATTTGTAAAAATATTTAGATACTTTATTATTATTTAGATTAACACTGACATTTACACTTCATAGATATGAATATGTGTGTGAATGGTTGTTTCTTTCTATGTGGCCCTGTGATGGACCGGAGAACTACCCAGGGTGTACCCCTCCCCACCCGTTGACAGCTAGAATTAGCTCCAGCGTGATCTTGCAAAGGAATAAGCCGTGGATTGATGGGTGGATAATTTTCTCATGAAGTCTAAAGGGTCAAACCCTGCTTGGAAGGCCTTGACCTTTTGTTTTTACTGCTCCAACATTATATCTAAAACTAGAACATTGTATATCTCTTGCAGCAGTACTATTTATCAATGTGTTTCTTTCTTTTCTTTCTCCACCTCCTTTTTCATTATTATCTTCTCGCTCTCATCACAGCACAGCAATTACTTACTGCTGCTTATTAGCTTCTCCTCAGTGCCACTATTTCCCACAAATACATCACAGCAGGTTAACCATAGTTTTGTGTTTGACCAAAAAACACCTACATATTTTGTTTGTCTCATTCAGAACTGATTTATTTTAATAAAGAAAACTTATTTTGAACAAAAAGAGCCCAGACTCATTAAGTTTTTATCTCATTCCCAAATAAATCACTATAAGAACACACCCTGAGAAAATAGCACAGAGTCAGATATGCATAAAAAATGCATATCTGACTCTGTTTCTGTTTCTGAAAGGAAATGACATTGTAATGTGAATGGTAGAGAAGTGATTATGGCTCAAATTGTGGTACCACAGTGATGTTCTCCCATGGAATTTGGCTGACATAACTGTACTAAATGTTTTTATTCTGCCAGTGAAATGTATTAATTTTTAACAGACAAAGAAAAGCATTTGACCACAGCCATGTCAAAATGTTGCCTTTTACAATGCCAGTGCTGGGCAGAAAGCCTGATATAAAAAAATCCTGCATCAATCACAGTCCACTGAACGTAGGTTGAACAGTGATATCAGTATTAGTACCAATAACATGTTTCTGTTAAACATTTTTTCCTATTATTAATGTAGTTGAACCTTAATCACTGATTCCTCTGAAATAAACTAACAACGAGTCACTTTATACAGCTTTTGAATGGACAGTTCATCCCAGCAATGCATCATCATGAAGGTTTACTACAACATGTTTGGCCAAATAAAATAAAATATCTAAGCTGCAGATGATTCATCCCAGCTCCACTCTGATGAATCATCTGATTGATTTGGGAACGGGGAATGTCTAATCCTGTTGAACTGAACAAACCCTGTCTTTGGTCTAACCTCCAGAGTCACACAGTAAGCCACATCATCACAGAGGTTATTCGTAGAGCATAGGCCTTGTACTGGTCAGGCTAAGCAAAATCTGTTGAAAAGTGAATGTTTTTATGTATGTTTATGTACAATAAACTGTATGTTAGAAAGGGACACTTCCATTTGGTTGCAAAAGGGAAGCCACTGATGCAGTTAGATACAGATTTTAGATTTACATTGTACAGATTGGCATGTACTCATTCACACCAAATGGCTGGTCCATTTTTTATGTAAGGTCTCTGGTTTATATCTTTATAACAGAACTTCAGGAGGTTGAGGGTATAATGAAAAATACACATTTGCCAGTTAGTCTTTGCCAAATCAATGATAAACTTCTTCACCTTCATTCACAGGGCAAACAGTCACAGATTGTTAAATGGATAATGGGATAAGAAGAAAAACAGCGTCTGTCCCCTGTGGACAACAAAAGTGTCTCCGTCCACTCCCACCACCATCCACCTTCTGTCCTCTCACAGGAATGTGTTTAAACACACATAATACAAATGAAGTGTCTGTTTGCCTGCTGTGGAAATGTAAGCAGAATTCCTGGATGCTGCACAGACGGGCTCCCAAAGCCACAGTGGTCGATGGTCGTCTACCCATTACTACCATTCCTTCCTTCTGTCTCTTACTCAGACTATAATAGGGGATATAATACATGGATATAAACAATACCAGAAGCTGCCCACTTCTTTCTATAAAAGGCTCAAAGAGGCTGCGGCACGCCAGAGTCCTCCAAATATTGACTACGCCTGCCTCAAAAGTTACTAAAACATTTATATTTCGAAAATAACGTGGGCTTAATGCATCAAAATGTTTACAAGTGATGTGACAAGTCTCAGAACTTATTTAACTTATTTAGGAAAAGTTGAGAACAGAAAGAAGTAAACAAAAAGTCCACGTAATCTGGAAAATTTTCGAAAGTTGTTTGATAAGAAACCCGTTGACACCAAGACACAAACCTCAAATACAGAGTTGGGAGTTTGTCCTGTGACAATGCTGGATATGTGCAGGAAAAATAATCTAAAGATCGATCAGAGAGACACAACACTGTCCATGCCAGTGTAGTGAGGTCTCATCCATATAACATGAATGAATTATGGTGGTTTTTACATCTGTCTGCAATGACTTCTTTACTCTTGGCTCCTACTCTCTGACAAAAGCAGCAAGGCAGTGTGACTTCAAAGCTAGGATTTGAAAGTCTAAAAAGTGGTTTGTGAGCTGGAAAAAGGTGCGGAGAGAAGGCATTGTGAGGACGTCTGGTTGACAGAAGAGACGTTTAGAAGAGGTTTATGCTCGACTAACATTGTTGCATAGTTCCCCCGTTGGTTTTTTTGTCTTAGGGCGTTAAGAGAGGCAAGAGACGCAGCAAGTGTTTGCACCAAATGTAGGCAGCTGACAAAAGGAATACTGTCTGAGAGGAGGAAGCCACATGAGAGGAAAGACGAGGTCAGTAGTTAAAAATAGGTCGTGATATGAGCAACCTTTGAACCCTGAATCTGTTTGCAGTTTGCAGGACTTCTTAATGGTTTGAATTGTGAGTTTTTGACAGAAGAACATTTTTTCTTGGCAAAGTCAATCTGTATATCTAAAACCTAAAAATGACAAATTAGTGTTTTTAAATGTACTAAGAGGTTTAAGTATAGTGACAATCTATATATCTTTACATTTTTACTTCTAAGAATCAATAGTTAACA